GCCGCTCACTGTGGTCGGTGCCAAGCAGCAGGAGGAGGTGGTTCTGGTTCTCTGAGGAGGATCCACCCTCCCAACACTCCTCCTCTTCATCCTCCAGACTGATGTCATCTGGAGGAACCAGCTCGATCCGGATGGAGGGTCCGTTGGTCAGTGGCTGAAAGGGCTGTGAGTTAGTTTGATCCATCTTCTCCTCATGATGCGCCTCACAGGCCTCCTCAGGTGAAACAGTGGAGGCTGACAGGTGACCATCGATGTCCAGGACGACAACGAAAACCTCATCTTTCTCCAACGATACATCCTCGACTAAGCCACGAACAGGAGGCTTGTCTGAGTCCAGGGTGACTCTGATAACCTCACTGTCAGTGTGGATCAGCTGTGATCTGTCTGTAGAGTTCATCAAACCCTCCTCGGTGTCGTCACCTTCCAGTTCCTCTTTGGGTGGAGATGGTTCTGGATCCTCTGCTACAACTCGATCCTCAGTCCGCTGGACGTTCATCTCTGCCATGACAGTCACAACCTCTGAGCTGAGATCAGCTCCATCCCTGTTGGAACATTTGTCTACCTGAGCATCAGATGGACACGGAGCCTCCTCCATCTTCATCACCTCCTCCATGTTTTCCAGAGGGACTCCGGACAATCTGCTCCTCCCTCCTCTGGTGAAGAACCTTCTCAGTTTGTTCTGGAAGGTCAGTGACGATTTGTCACCGTCTTTCTCATCAGACTCTCTCGTCAGCTCGTGAGTCCGGACTTCGGATGAAGTCACGAACCTTTTGAGCATCATCCTCATGTTAAACCTCTTCTTCTCTTGAGAAACCTGCTCACTGTTTTCTTCTGTGGTGTTTAATAAAGCAGCATCTGCCTCTTGATTTTGCTGTTTCTCTGATCTTTCTTCCATCTTCTTCTTTTGTCTCCTGATACAAACCGGCACCGAGGTGAACCTCCTCCACCACCTGTGTCTGTTCACCTTCCTGTTTCTGACGGCATCGTCATCACCCGTGTCCTCACAGCGTCTCTCTCTGTTTACTTCCAATAAAACTTCTTCGTCCAGCTCGGTGGCTCCGGTCTCTGCTGCAGCAGCCGAGGAGTCGTCCCCATCGCTGTTTCCCATCTTGTCTTTTATCGTTTCAGGTCTGTCCTCCCCCACACTCCTGGTCCTGGTTTTTCCAAGCAGCAGCCTCCGAGGACCCGTCAGCTTCCTCTTCAGACCGACTGTCTCTGCTCGCTGGGCGTCCTGTCCGTCCTCTGTCACCATGGTCTGTCTCCACGGTGAAGCTAGATGATTTTCACACCTCCTGTTTCGGCTCCTCTGTCCACAGTCAGCTGCTGATGAACCATCTGCTGCTCAGGACCCTGCAGAACAGACAAAGCAGCAGATAAAGGCTGTGGATCTGTGACAGATGGAGCAGCAGCTGAGCTGAAACAGAAAGCCTGCAGCTCTGTCAACACCACCTGATGTTTACTGTGCGCGCTCTGACTCCGCAGCTGAAGTATATGGATATGGCAGCATGTTTACCATGAAAACACGACTAACCTGATTTGTGTAGGACTCTTCAAGCACAGACCTACGGTTTTAGATGGCATCTCATTTGTTTCTGTGGAGGTTAAAAGCATCAGCTCCCTATTTAAATAAATACTGAGAGCATGTGTCCTATATGGGGCCATGCTAAGACAAAAGACCACCCACCCCACAAGCTCACAGCGAGGGTGGTTCATCATCTCCAGAGAGATTCATAAAAAAGAACTAAATGTCAGCTTTAGGGTAAAGTGTGTGAAGAGAGCTGCTCCTCTTACTGGAGAACTCAATGCGATTCTGCGTCTGTGATCATTTGTATAAATAATACATTCACATAAAAGCACAGTGACAGGCTGAAACGAAAATATCTAAAAGTCAAGTGTTGGTTGAGGAAGAAAAGTCACCAGAGATGGACAAATGGAAAACTGATCATTTAACTGAGAGAGCACATCTTTAATGTTTGATTCCAACAAACAAACTTTATATCAGGTCTAAAACAGCAGCAACCTGCTGGTGAGACTCAGGCGGAGAGGAACAGAAGAGATACTGTACTTGGATTCAGAGCTGTGTCCTGGATGTAAAGCAGACCCCAGGTAGCAGATGATGAGAGAGATCACTACAGGATTTCACAGAAACACCTGAAAGCTCCACAACAGGTCGCTGGCCCCAATAAACTCACGGTACAGAAAGGAAATCATGAATGGAAATGCACGTTTCACCGAGATATCTGGATTTACTGTCGCCTTGCGTTTAAAAACCCACCTGTCCACACTAAAGATGACGTCAGCAAGGCAGTGATGATGTCATCAGGCGCCTGTAGCTGATGCTTTGGAGCTGATTATAGAAACAAAGCTCACCTCGACGTGGCACCTGCCGCCGATCAGATCTGCTTCTGTGTGCGGGGAGACGCGGAGCCGAGCGCTGCCTCGCTGCCGGACCGCCCCAGTTTCCATAGCAACCGCGCTGATTGGCGTCTGCTTTCAGTGTGGTGGTGGGAGGTGGAGATGTGCCTCGGGGGAGAGGAGCGGAACCAGTGTTTGGACGTTGTACGAGGCTGCACAGACACGTTGCGGGTCTCTACACGTTTAATTACTGACGGTGACCACAAACACAAGTCGGTGTATTAGAGTCGGTCTGCCAAGAGACAACCAACCAGACATCAGCAGAGTTCAGCCTGAGGGTCTCGTAGGGGGTTATCTACACGTCTGTGTCAGGGCCTGTCCTGATCCATCCATGAGCAGCACATATACAAAGTAAAAGCAAGCTGTGGTGGAGTGGGCGTGTTGAAAGCATCCCAGCATGCACCAGGCCTGCAGAGCTGGACTCTGTTGTCTTCCCACACTGATCACGTTGTGACTGAGCTCTGCACTGACTCCGCATTGGAGCATTTCTCAGTGTTGTCGTGTGGTCGGACACCTGAAGTGATGC